GTAGCTAAACAGGTAAACATTCACGTGGCCCTATTTTACTGACGTTATCTATATGGCACCGTGTTCCTTTATCATTCACGTGGCCCTATTTTACTGATGTTATCTATGTGACACCGTGTTCCTTTACCATTCACTGGCCCTATTTTACTGATGTTATCTATATGGCACCGTGTTCCTTTATCATTCACGTGGCCCTATTTTACTGATGTTATCTATGTGGCACCGTGTTCCTTTAATATTCACGTGGCCCTATTTTACTGAAGAATCGCCATTTATCGTCATATTCGTCTGGAAATTCACATCAGATTATATCAACCTAAATCTTCCATATCACCGTACTTTCAATCAATGTTATCTGACCAGCTCCTCGAACAACTTCCATATATTTACGTCTCACTGACGCTTTAATAAAGACTTCTATAAACTCACATCCCCCACCCTCCCAGGCCCGACAATCTGCGGGTCGCGGCTTTGAATCTTCACCCCACCAAACATGTTCGCCCTTTCAGTCGTGAATGCGTTATAATGTGACGGACAATCCCACTATTCGTTGGTTAAAGAGTAGCCCAAGAGTTGGCGATAGGCGATGAAGACTAGCTGTCTTCCCTCTTGTCTATCAGTGATAAATTAGGGACGGATAGCGCAGATAGCCCTCGTGTAGCTTTGCGCGAAATTCAAAATAAACCAAACCACATCCACCCTAAAAAATAAACATTTGCGTGACCTTATTTTACTAAGAACCTCCGTATCTTAAATCCGGACCGGGAGTTGCTAAGCGGTTATTGTAACCCTCAATATGGATCCGAAGTTTCAACGTTCGCATCTCGCTCTTCCTGCAAAAACACGCTCCGCACTTTGGGGCTGAGGGATACGATATAAGATGACGGTCTAATTGCATTATTCGATCAGAGAATAACAATTGCTCTCGAGGTGGTGGTGGTCGCACCGCAGGGATCTAACCCCGAATTTAACTTTCATAACCCTTCAAGCTTTTCTTTCACGAATGTTTTGACCCTGTCAGAAGAAGTTGTTAAACTTTACAAAAATACGTCTCTAATTTCACCGTACTAGAGAATCTAATATAGAAAGATCATTGGAACTGGAACATTATAACTAAATCTAGGTCTGCCGAGAAGAAGAAAAGGTGAACTTACGATAAAGAGACATACGGAAATTACTTTTACGTGTGAATTCGCCATGAAGAAAGCTGAGGTACATTCTTCAGATTCGTGAGGGATGTCCGTTTATATACCATACTCGCAAGGAGAGGTTAATACACGAAGCTTGACACCATACATGCATGTCCTCGATTTGATTGTGACCAGTGTGCCACAACGTGATGAAATCATATGAAATAATTAATAATAATAACGAAAAAAAAAGTTTGTAAGTTCTGTTAATTTATTCTGTTAAGTTAGCTAGCTGTCACGAAAGTGTAAAACTTAGCTATAGTAAAAGGTGATGTCACGTGTGCATCTTTGTCACGAAACTACTAGGCCTAAATCTGCATTGTTAAAATAACTGTTGTAATAATACGGGAATTTCAATAACGTTTTCTCCGTTTCAGATTTCTGCACCAGTAGGAAGTTTTCTTAATTAATACAGAGGTGTAGAAAGTTGGGGGGGGGGGGAGGTTTATTTGACTGAAAGAAGCGAGGTAATGTGCGTCAAAGGCGCATCCTTTACGACGGGAGTCCAGGACTTGCATTAGGGCTCTAGAAGCTCTTGGGTTCTGGATTAAGTTTTATACGTTCTCCTACTTGTCCTGAGAGTTTTTTTGTTTGATCTGCCCACCACGGGTGTCGAAACCCGATTTCTAGCGTTGCAATTTCCTGAGAGTAATTTACCTAATTTTGATAGGACAGATTGAAATGTGGGGGCCTAGCCACCCCCTCCGCTTCCTATGTCACTGTAATAGGATCATATTCTGTTTTATAGAAAATAACAATGTTAATTACAAGATCAATCTATACTCGGTAGGAAAAAAAAATATTTCGTGCGAAAATTGATAAAGTAAGCGATTTCAGCTATTACGACAGCTCGGAACTGAATTATGAAATTCACTACCTCGAAAGTGTATAATAAGGCAGATACGTTGTATTGATTGTGAGAATCCTGGAATTTCTATTACACCAGCCAGGGTTACAGACAGGAGCTTCAATTCGTAACCTTGGCCATATGACTCTGTTGCAATGATCGGAACATTAAGTTTGTAATTACTGCTTGCTAAATGAACAAAAGTCTACCAGACAGCGTACACAATAAACGCGTGTACACACACTTGCAAATAAGTACGTAAAACACACTACACACAACTGATACACAAACACGGTGTTTGTAAATAACGCATCTAACTATAAGTAAACACTCCGAACACAGTGATTACCAACACGGTACACACAACGGATAGACAAACACAATAAACATAACGGATATCCAAACACGTTACATACACCTGATACGCAAATACAGTACACATAATGGATACACATTCATATACAGGAAGAAGGCTTGCGTAATCACTTCAAGACGAAGTATGTGTCGTAGATTAACACTAGCATGGTTTGTTATTTCAGAACAAACACGAATCGTTCTTCATTTGAGGTAATTTATAAAACAGTGATTTTATGTAATGTTTTAATTTTCATGTTTGTCAGTCCACCGCGGGCCATGTTAGGGAATGCCTTCATTTACTAATATTATTATGGCAGTGTATACAAACTTTACAATGATGGTGTTGTTTTTAGAGTGATATACGTGCTCAGTGACAGCGTACTTATCGTTTGTATTGATAGAAATAGCCAAGCAGGTGCAGCCAGAATGACAAAAACAACACACACGAACAGAAACACGAAAGATGTGTAATCCATGGATTTAATAACTTGTTAAATACCAGAAATGTGCTATTGTGAATCCATACACACACACACACAGCGTACACAATAAACGCGTGTACAAACATATCGCAACACACGTGCAAATAAATATGTAAAACACATTACACACAACTGATACACAAACACAGTTTCGGTAACACACTTATCATCATCAAGACTAATAAAGAAACTAGTGGGCTGTAAGTGATAATAAATAGTTTACCTTTCATTGTGCCAAAAAACGTCGGTTTTGTGTTTTTTAATCTTAGTATTAGAAAGGTATGTTGACAGAAAAAAAGAGAAAATCGGGATAGTCGGTCAGAAGGACAAAACTATTGTTACTAATATTCTGATGATTGACAGAACAATAAAGCTATATCTACGTAACACTCCAGTCAAAATAGTAAGAATAAATATGTCGTTTTCGCACTCTTAATACAGAAGACTGAGTCATATGTTGTT